GTACCACGTGGGCAGGTTTTTCCTTGTACCAAAAATGTCAGGTGTAAAAAGGGGACTACCTGTCTGGTGCCAGGGGACCAAACTGGGCAGGGTGTCCCGGGTAACAGTGTAGGTTTTTCCCCGGGGGGCCCACACTGTCAGGTGTCGAGGGGGGCCCCAGTGTGGGTGTTTCCCAAAGGGTTTCAATGTCTGGTGTCCCGGGGGGATCCCCGTGTCAGGTTTTCCCGGGTTTCCACAGTGTCAGGTGTCCAGGGTTTTTCACAGTGTTTTTGGGGTTTCCCGGTATCACAGTGTCAAAGGGGCCGGGTACACATGTTGGGTCCGGGTTTTCACCCGGTCAGGTTCCAGGGGATCACAGTGTTTAGGTGTCCAGGGTATTTTCCCGTGTCAGGTGTCCAGGGGACTACACTCTTGTTCTTGCTACTGGGGGCCTTAATAATGTTTAAAAGGGTCTTGGGTACGGGTTTTTAAGGTGCTTTCTCTTTCCATGGATCAAAACCCGGGTTTCCCTACATTTCCCCGGCGGGTGTATAAACCCCTTTTTGGGGTTTTGCGCTTCCCGTGGTTTTAAACGGGCAATAATTTTATATGATATAAAATCCTGTATTCGCCCCATTTAAAGGCGTAGACACTAATATGTGCATCAGAGATATAATCGTATCTTAAAACACCCAGGTGTATATTTCAGTGTAGGTACACTGGAAGGTGTATACTTCTCAGTGCATATACACTGGGAAGTATGTATCTCTCAGTGTATATTCACTAACTGTTACATATCTCTCAGTGTATATACACTAATAGTTATGTATCTTTCAGTGTTTATACACTAATAGTCATATATCTCTCAGTGTATATACACTAATAGGTATGTGTCTCTCAGTGTATATACACTAATAGGTATGTGTCTCTCAGTGTATATATACACTAATAGGTGTATATATATATCAGTGTATATACACTAATAGGTATGTGTCTCTCAGTGTATATATACACTAATAGGTGTATATATATATATCAGTGTATATACACTAATAGGTATGTGTCTCTCAGTGTATATACACTAATAGGTATGTGTCTCTCAGTGTATATATACACTAATAGGTGTATATATATATCAGTGTATATACACTAATAGGTATGTGTCTCTCAGTGTATATATACACTAATAGGTGTATATATATATCAGTGTATATACACTAATAGGCATATATATCTCATTGTATATACACTAATAGGTATATATATCTTAGTGTATATACATTAATAGTTATAGATCTCTCAGTGTATATACACTAATAGGTATATATCTCTCAGTGTATATACACTAATAGCTATATAACTGTCAGTATATATACACTAATAGTTATTTATCTCTCTGTGTATATACACTAATAATTATATAACTGTCAGTGCATATACATTAATAGTTACATACCTGTCAGTGTATATACACTAATAGTTATATGTCTCTCAGTATATATACACTAATAGTTATACATCTCTCAGTGTATATACACTAATAGTTATATAACTGCCAGTGTATATACACTAATAGTTATATCTCTCTCAGTACATATACACTAATAGTTATATCTCTCTCAGTACATATACACTAATAGTTATACATCTCTCAGTGTATATACACTAATAGTTATATATCTCTCAGTGTATATACACTAATAGTTATTTATCTCTCAGTGTATATACACTAATAGTTACATATCTCTCAGTGTATATACACTAAT